GTCATCGAATCCAACTGCAAGACAGATTCATATGGACAGTTAATGGCAGAGTATAAATTAATGTTGAGTTTGCTAGTACGGCCGGGTGGTATCAAATGTGAGATCTTTTAAATTCAAACTAAGAATCTTATTAAAAGAAATTCAGAGTGACACAGAGTAGAAGGAATTTGTTTAATGAGAAATTGTTTACTTTACAGCAAGAACAGTTAAAGAGATTCCATTACATGCAAACCGCTTCTGCCAGCAAAGATCGCACTGACTTCAACTATATAGAGTTAAAATAATGGGGAAAATCTTAAAAGCATGGTCAGGTACATATTAAACTTTACATTAAAAAAATTGCATATTTGAGGTCCATTAAGATATTTTTGTTGTGAGAATATCTTGACAATTAAGCTACTTTTTAATTAAGCTATGAATTCGTTTTTTTTTATGGCAATTCTCTTACAGTACACTTAATTATATATATATATACACACACATGACTTGGACATGTTCTTGAGAGGTCTTATAAGATTCACCCAGTCACAATGATGGAGATATATTGATTTGTAAAGTTGCTGAAGAGTTCTGTATACTCACAGTCATCTAAATCATCATGACCATCTTCAAAATACAAAGACAGACCTGAGGAAACATAAACCATATACTGAAGATCAAAGACCGACAAGTGTCTAGTAGATAAGCGGACAGGTTCAAGCCATGCTACTGTGTGACACATGAAGTTCGGCTGTGCCTCGCAACCTCACTAGACAGCAATTTTGGTATTTTCATTGCAAGAACGTTGAGTGCAAGTGCTGCTTAGGTAGACTGCTCACTAGGGTTTGACACACAGCCTTGGCATGTATTGTAGTGTTAGGCTAGCTTTTATCTCACGTATATGTCAACTCAGGTTTGCCGACATCACATAACCTGCTTACTAGGCGAAGATGTCTGTCAAACACCTTTTATATCGTAGTGTGCAATAACATACAAACAGTTCTTGAGTTATGACAATTTAGAAATACATTTTAAAAGGTGACCAGTTAACTAAACGTGTTATGCGGAATCGACCCCGGTCAGGTTTGCTAACAAACTGACTGTCAAGCTCTTGTCAGCTCAGCTATGTTATCTTCATTATTAACTTAAATGTACTACATCATTTCCACCCTAAATTATTTAATACAACATAAATGATTTTGTTGGCCCAAAGTAGTTATTTATCACAGTACTTTTTTAATATCCCAGTCTGTCCTGCTAGCTCCACACAACTCGCAACTAGTGTTAATCCACTTAAAAATTCACCAGGCTCATGACCTTTCGTCCAAAATACATCAGAAAAATTGAAAAGGCATTACGCGTCATGAAAGTCAACAGTGATAACGGAGCCGATTCTCTTTAAACCGCCTCATAAAGCTTTAAATAAATGCACTAAAGCACGTTACCTGCCATCTTGATTTACAGCGGGGCTGCTGTCACTCCACTTCCTCAAAAGATTTCCTGCTCTTATTTCAATCCCGGCATCTATATGAATATCAAATACTTAAAAAACAAACATAAATTAATCGAAACAAAACACTTTTACGCGTGGAAATACCACAAATATTCGTTTCGCTCAACCGAACACTCGATGAGAAAAAATTAAGACAATGTCGATCACGTGACTAGTCTAGCGACGTCCGATTCGTGAATGAATTGTTTATGTAGAGTCGGATCTTTTCAGTGAATCAATAGAACCGGTTCATAAAACTGGACTGAATGATTCTTTCACGAACAGCCACGCTTTGAACTTAGTGTTGTTTAATGTAAATGCAAATTTTGGTTATAAACCGTTTTTATGAGCTGAATCCGGATTGCCACTTTTTTTAAAATTATTATTATTTCCATTATTCTCAGTGGTAATTCTCTTATTATCATATAATTTATTTAAAATTAATCATATTACTATATCATGTATTTAAAATTAAAAAATTGCATTCTTTGCATTATAATACTAATTATTTGAGGGGTGAATGTGCTTAATTTGTATTATTCATATATTCACCTAGAGAGATATTTTAATCTTTAAGTTGCTGAAGTGTTCTGTAAACTCAGTTATCCATTATCATAAACCGGAAAAATTAAATGAAATTACAATAACACTTTGGATAATAATAAACATAATAAACAGCCTTATGTGCTTTATTTTTATGCGTGTTATTTGTTAGGAACCACGAGATGACGTAATTAGTTACTTTGCTGAAACGATGAAACGAACTGTTCGAAAGAACCGATTCGCATGAATGACTTCCCATAACTAGACTCGTCAACCGGAGTTCAAGATGGCGATCAGCGAGCAGCTAATATCGCAACTAATCGACCATTAATATAACATCTAAGTCCTGATACTATTATAAGCTATACGCGTTATGTCAGTATTTCAAAACAGCTTCTTATACCGTCCTAAAGCAGTGGATATCTGACACTATAGTGTCTTGAGAGAGATTGTGTGTGTTGTTGTGTTTTAGCTTACGTCAAATAGAAATAGTTGCTGATCAGCTTTATGAAACTGTTTGGAATGATTGAGAAGTTTTCATTATTTTGGAGGTCAACATGTCGCTAAGAGAGTTGAAAGTATGCCTTCTTGGGGTAAGATTTCTATTCGCTTTTTATGACTTGACATGGATTGCAGTTTGGGTGCGTATTTACTGTTTTATCACTATGTTAATGCTCTGTCATAAATGTTATTGCATGCTATAAATAGCAATAAAGTGTGCCAGTGGTTTTACCTATTGTGCAAGCTTTGATAATCTCTTTTAAAATGTTACAGTAATATTTCTGGGCTGGTGACGTATTTAACCACCCATTCAGATGTGGATGATAAATGTCTAGAGAGTTTGAGAAGTTACATTTTGTTCAGTACATACATTGGCTATATTTATATAGGTCAGGTAGTGTTGTCAAATCAAATCTTCTGGCATAAGGATTTCATATGGCACAATTTGACATTTTATACCTAATCTGAAGCCATTTTTTCTAATTATATCGTTTGGTTGATTTTACATGCGTTTTTGACCTTATATTCCAAACTTTTGACAAAAACTTTGTACAAAACACAGATATATGCATTTTTAACTAACATCTTGAAGTTGGAAAAACACATCAAAGAAGTGTTAATAAGACAAATTATATTACCTATGTTCAATATATATATATATATATATATATAATTAGTTTAATAGGTTTGTGTATTTTGTTACTGATTTTGATATTGTGTCTTAGGATACAGGGGTTGGAAAGTCAAGTATCGTGTGGAGGTTTGTGGAGGATAGTTTTGATCCCAA